ATATATAATAAATCTAAATTAAATTTTATAATATACTTATAAAGTGCACAAAGTTAGTAATCTTATAAATTAATATCCTTTTATGCAATCACCACTATTGAAATATTAATTTCTAAATTAAATTAAAGAAATTGTTGCTGATATCTGACGATTTTTGCTAACATGTTGAAAACTTTTTTTCATTTCAACTGAAAATAACCAGATATTCGGCAAGAATTTCACATCAATGATGTTCTTTGATGAACACTTCATAGAAGCAAACTCACCGTAGAACAGAGACCACCGATGTATATTGTCCTTCGATCTTGACGAGCCCGACATTTTGCAATATTAAACCAGTAATCAGCATACCAATCAAGGCCGGTAGGGTGGTCAAAGAGAACAACCAACCTCCGAAATACGCGGCGATGCACACAGTGGCCAATCCGAATAGCTGACCACCTGGGGCAGCGTCATTGCCGATTATCGAGTAGATGACACCCCAGAGCAACAGACCCAAAAGAAAGAGGCATACAATTCGAGCGAATTTTCTGTACGTTGGACAGAACGGCTGTGGGCATGCTTTCCTCCATCCCGGTGGTTCCCACGATGGCGTGTCGTCGAGACCGTGACATCGCGCGCAAAATAGATACAGCCACGATCTGGAATAGACATAAACCAGGAGAAGAGCATAAAAATGCGACGGAATATTACATTAAAATTAGATAATAATATTCTTTTCGCTTGTTTTTTTTTTAGGCGATTTCTAATTTCTAATTCGGGGATCAACGGTTTCAACATATTTTTGTTTGTTTCAAACATATTATTGAAAACAATTAATGTCTAAGCAAAATATTCAGTAGTGTTTTAAAATTAATTTTTAAACAAAAATAATTATCTATAAATAGTAGAATTACCTAATGGAAATGAATCAGCATGGAATGCATGCAATAGATATCGCGTAAACGTAAAGGAAAACGATCGTCTACTTTTGATAAGAATAAAGATAAGAGTAAATGCGAAACAAATGAAAAAAACCAATTTGTTTCTACAATTACATACTATCAGTCCTGGGAAAAATTCAACAGAATTATTTATTTAAAGGATGTAAAAAGAATATTTAACTTTATTTTAAAAATCTATATAAAATTACTAATACATTTTATTTAAACTATATAATTATATGTATTACATTACACATTATGTCGTTTGCAACAACAAATCCAAACCTTCTGTATAAAATCGTATTTTTCAATAGTATTTTAAATTTTATAATATTGCATTATAAATTTTGTATGATAATTTTATACAAAACAAACATTTTGTGCATTTTTTAGAGAACAAAATTAAATTGCTTCCAATTTAAAACAATATATTGATATGTATTGAAATTTAAAATAACAATATACTAACTTGTCACAATAACTGAATAATATATAAAATAAATATAAATAACATATTTTATCAGAAAAATCTCAATTAAAACAAAAATATTTTTTAATTATATGAACAAAATATTTAGTATTTTTAACAGAAATGTTAAATTGATAAATAAAAATCGCGTTAAGTTGTCGTGTAATGTAATCTTCATTTAATATATTGTTGTATTACATTCGCTCAGAACAAGTTTGTTTGGATTAATGTCTTCAAGTACGAGCGTCAATAACTTCAATCTACTCTGCAGTATCTACTGGTTTATCTGCAAAGATAATTTGTAACTGTTAAACTAACTTAGATTTCAATGTGATACTAACGATTATTACAGTTATGTGTAATATTTGACTGTATGCCATTGTCGAGCAATGTAATGGTTAATTTGGTGTGTAGCTTTACATGGCAGTATATTAAAGTTCATTACATTGCATTATGTTACGCATAATAATAATTTCGGGTTAATAAATTCATTATACAATAGAAAGTGTATACATCATAATTTATGTCATACTCATTTAGTCATAAAAAATTAATAATTTATGAACTATAATCAATAATTTATTTGCTGTACATTTCGAGGAAAATACTCTTTCGTATTTATACTCCATTATTCTGTTTATCTGCGCATGACTGTGTAATTGGACTCCCAATTAATTTCTTGCTATCAAATAAATTTTATGCAAAATTGATGAGAAGAAATCATTGAAAAGAAAATACAATAATTCTGAAACACATTATATACTGCTTTATAGCAAATCGAAGAGCATCTTATATATATATATAT